CCTACTACTACTACTACTACTACTACTACAACTACTATTAGAGCTACTACTACCACCACTATCACTACTAAAAATATAGAAAGATATGGATGATAATATAGCTATTATCTTTACTTTTGCTATCGAATTTGTCATTTTTACTACTATCATAAGCAAAAGAAGTTTCATTTATTTATTGTTGCTGTCTGTTACCAAAACAAAATAAAAAGGAATATAATCCAAGACAATCCTCACCTTCAGCAAAGTGTGAGAGAAGACAGACGACAACGACGATGTGGATGAGAAAACAAGGCGAAGATTTCGCTGCCATAGACGAGACTGTGTGGAGGCCCAAACGTCTAGGAGAGACGAGGGCTCACACTGCCGGGAAGGAAAGAAGACGAGAGCGAAAATGTGTGAATTTTGTCACAAAAGGATTAGAAGCGGTCAGTGGGCAATTAAAGTCATCGGCTGGCTCTCTGGATGCTTTGATGTCCTGAAGAAATCGATCAATCAATCAATACGTCGTACTCTCTCTGACCCTCACAGGCCTGCTGTAGGGAGAACACAGGGGATTTTCCACAAGGCTTGAAGATCCAACTCCTCGGCTGTTATACATCTATTATTTAATCCTCCTCCCAAAAAATCCAGGGAATCCTCTGCTGTTTTCGTGTTCCTTTGGCGAAATTGAAGAACGAGTGCTCTTTTATATATATATACACACACAATTCCGTCTCGAAAATCTCACAGATATGAGGTAGACGTTGGAATAGATGAGAAGTTTGCAAAATAAACACGTTTCAATAGCGTTTTTGCTTTCTTTGTAGCACAAGCAAGTTGAAAAAAGCAAAAAACAAAACAAAACACAACTAAAAAAAAGAGTATCCTCTTCTTTTCACAGTTTATTGAAACATTTTTCACTTTTACTTCCCACGAAAAATGGACTCTCTTGTCATTTCAGAAAACGAGTCACTTGGAATAAAAAAACGAAATAGTTGTTACTGTGCCCTTGCTCCTTTCACGCCATGTCGAAATTCCTGGCGCTGTCTACCTCACCTTTGTGTGCCTGGCACTAGACTGATCTCCTTCGCTCGGCGGAGTTATAGAACAGGCATTCTGGAATCAGGAACTGACCATGCTTGACGGATCGATTGTGAGGGCAAGGGACTGCTGCACTCCCCTGCATCGGGCGATTCCATTGTTCTCTTGTAGATCATGTGAACACTATTGGGCCAGGTGCGCCTTGTGATCGAAGGGTTCGGGTATCAGTGAGGCACAATTCGATACCGACACGCGAGTTTCTTATTTTATTCTGTTAACTCATTGAACACGTGCTGTTTAGAAGCACTTTAAAAGAGCGTGACTCCGTAATTCAAACAGATTGTTCAGTTCTGTTGTCCTTTTCTTAAACTTTACAAAGGCAGACTACAGCGTGTAGATCTACACTCTTATACAATTGTGTGTTTCTGATGTGTGTTTGATGGTTCATAATATGTGCCAAAACATTGCTTTTGGTATGATACTGATCTGACATATTATGTGTCCGCTGCTACGTCAAAGAGTTAAGGATGATACCCGATGCCAATGAACAGTTTGCAAACGGTTCCTTTAAAAAATGTTTTAATATAAGAGGGAGGGGGGGAGCGTAAATAATACTAGTATTACGTAAGCACCAAAGCTATCCTCATCGGATACTCTCTCGTGTTCTCCCAAACTGGTTAACCATTTCTTCTGATATTAATTAGGACTAATTGTTAAAAATAATTTGGAATATCTATCCACCTGTCGATCTCTCCCACTCTGTAAGTATATACACGCAGATACATGCATGTGTATGTGCGTGTGTTTGTGTGTTTGAGAGCGCGCGCGCGAGTGTGTTTAATATGCATGCGCACGCGTGCGCTTGTGTGTGTGTATGTGTGTGTATGTGTGTGTGTGTGTGTATGTGTGTGTGTATGTGTGTGTGTGTGTGTGTGTGTGT